TCATACAAAGATCTATCAAAATCTGCTTTTTCTGAAAGCAAGGCCTTGCTCTGTCTGGAGGGAGCTCCAAGAGCAGAGCCCATATATGCATATGCTGACAATGTTGTATGAAACTTTGCACAAGTAATATTAAAAACATTTTAACTGGTTAGTTAGCTTAAGGCTCTATGGTTAGGCTTTCCCAGGTCTGCAGACAAAGCACAAAAAGTGACACTATGTACACCACACCCATCAGAATCTATCGTTCCAAGGCTTGTATTTAATTTCATACGATCCCAAAATAATCTTATTTTCCTTTAAGAAGGGAAAGTGGCAGAGCTGCTTGAAGGGAGACAGGGGTTTGGATCCTGACTTCTTGAGTGGTGGGCCAGGACAACAGCCCTGATCCAGGAAAAAAGGCTGGATTTCCCTTCCCTAACCAGCTCCCTCCCAAGGAGTGAAGCACACACTACTTTTATTTTTCAGGGGTGCTCCTCTCCCTGTTAGGGTGAGATCTGCACAGGAGGGGTTGGGTCCACCTAAAGTTGTGTTTTAACTGTGTGGGTACAGAATCTGACTCAGCACACATCAAATGTGTGACCAAAGAGAGGGGGAATTTCTGGTGATAACCTCCTGCTAGGAAGAGGGAGGTTATGTGTTCTAACACCCTGAAGAAAGTCACTCAGGAGCAGAAAACACTTGGAGAGATTTGCCATACAAGTCATCCCCAGGATTTAGTATAGCTGACCAGCAGGTATTGCTATGTAAGAAATGAAAATGCAAGTGAATTTAGGACTAGTTAAATAAAAATACTGCAAACAAAAATATATATGCAAAGTTAATATCAGTTCTGGGGTCTTCCATTGCTGATATAAACTGAAGAGAAATACCCTCTTAGCAAACCGAAATGCCACAACAACAAAACCATAAAGAGACCTTTTTTTAATCACTAGTACTAAAGTTCATATTCTTGCATTCCCAAGCTGAAAGAGAAACAGCCCTTCTAACAAATTTAAGCCTCTCTCAAAAAATGCACATATTCATATATTCTTGTCACCAATTAAAACAAAAGGCCCAGAAGAGCAATTATTTGCTGCTGGGCATTATGAAAAATTTCTCTGTGTCAAGTTATTTTCAATAGTCAAAATGTTTAGTACCTGAATGAAATTTCTTCTTTTTTTAAAAATAAAAATAAAAATATTGTCTTTTAATGGACTTTTTGCACTCACTCAGAGGTTTGTGGAATTTTGAGTACAAATGTGTGCAAAGCCCTAAACTTGGTGAGAAAACTAATGTTTTTCTTATGGTTGTTAATTTTTCAGGGGCAAATTGAAATTATTTCACCTGTACTGATTCTGTACGAAATTGATCTCTGTGCACAGAAACAAACACACAGTTTTATGCCATACAAGACTTCAGAATAACAGCAATATAGAAACCACCACATGAGACGAAACTTAGTGTTTCCAGAACTGTGTTTCTGAGAGAGCCAGGACCAGGTTTTTACAAGGAGGGTTAAGTGAAGCACAATTAATAGAGAGCCACTGGTTTATTTAATTCCAGCGTGTATGCCTTTTGGTTTTTAGGTGGTGAATAGATCTCCTTATGCATCTGAGACCTGAGTGGAGAGTAATTAGGTGAATCCCGTGGTTTTGTTCAAGTGTAACACTGGCAACCAGATTCCATTTGTGAAAACTGTGAATCCAATTTTCACTCACAATGGCTGTTCCTTAGAGTTTGTTCTGTATCTGCAAGTAATTTGATGTGCTAGAATAGTCCTCAGTTGCTAAAACCTCTGAGTATTTCAAAAAGACATTGTTGGAGTGCAGAAAACTTCTGAAATAATTGCCATGCCATTTACCAGAGCTCTTATGGAATACACTTCTCTGATATTTTTTGCTTCTAAATAGTTATTTAGAGTTTTTATTATTCCATACGGAACCCAAATTTACTCCTTGAAATGAAAATATAAGATGCCACCAGTTGTTGAAAATATGTAAAATTAAAAAATTAAAAAGTAAGCCTTTTCCTGTTGGATTTTCTGTATAATAAATGATTTCTTGTTCTCAATTTGTGTACTGCATAGAGATTGTGTAATAACAATGCAACCATACTATTAGAAGACTTTCAAAGCCTCTGAGAATGTCACTGTCCTGACAAACTTTAAAATACAGCTATTTGTCAGTGTTAATTCTTGTAAGAATTGTTGCAGATCAAATATCTTTGGAAAATTCTGCTTTTGGAAAGTATTGCAACAGCAACCCAGTATCTCAGCCACCAGGCAGCCTTACGGGCTCACAGTGTCCTACCCCACAAATATCAACAGAATCAGGGGCTCATCAAAAACCTGAATAATCTTTAGAATACTTTGATACACATTTTAAGCCGGTAAAGAGAAATGGAAAGTGCCAAGCCAGCTTGCATTTCAGTGCCAGTGTTGAAGACCAGCACTGCCCTCCATGTTGGGCTGCTGATCATCACCTGGATTCAGCCAAGCCTGTTCCTTCATCGCACACACGTTCATTACACATATATGTTACACAATAACACAATTAATTCATGGAAACTTAGGGAGTACATGCAACGATATATCGTGCTCATGGAGCAGAGGTATCTATTGTAGCTCATTTTTTGTACCTCATAAAGCCTGCAAGCATCACCATTCGGGGCAAAGGAGGCCGTAAACAAAGTCAGTAAGGAGAGCACACAGTTCAGAGAATCATAGAACCACAGCATGGCCTGGGTTGGAAGGGATCTCAAAGATCACCTTGGGCCACTTTTTGAGCTTCTCCAGTTTGGATGAAACTTTTTTGGGGGATCTAATATCAGCCTTTGAACTTAACTTATTGAAAAAAATGTCACTGACTGCCAGATACATAGACCAGGCAATTTTTGAGAGTGGTGGCTGAAGAGAGAAAGTATGGAAGATGCAGGGATGAGGTGGGAGAAAGTAATTTATTCACAGAAAATAAAGCTTTGATGATGAATTTTTTTTCACTCTTTTAATTAAAATAATTTTAAAAAATTGTCCTGTCAAAGACATATTTGGAGAAATCTTTCTAGATTACACTGATTTTTGTTTCAGAAAAATGATTAATGATAAACTATTAAACTGTTAAACTGTTTAACTATAAAAAAAAAATTAAATTAGCTATTTGAGCCATAATGATTTGTTTTCTTGGATATCTCATATTGATGAATAAACCAATTATTATTCCAAATCAATCAAAGCATTACAATTTCATTACAATTTATATCTGTAAGTCAAACACCATGACAAATTCTGGTGATGGAGACATCTTGATATAAGAATAAAAAGATCAGATAATATCAACAGCCATCTTTTTGCTACAGCAGTTAAAGTTAATGGATTCATTTATCATTGATAATTCTATCTAACAATGTTTTGAACAAAATCTCATCATAAAATACCATAATAATGAACCTTGGAGAAATTACTAATTTGGATATGCCAAAGATCCAGAAAAAGAGAGCCCAGATGGTGAGGTGAAAAGAACTTTTTTTTCTTTGATCAGTTGTCCAAACTTTTAACATGAAATTCTTTTGAAAAGTTCTTGACTAATATTTGAAATCACTAGGTAATTTTAAACCAAGATTTTCTCCTTCTTTGCAAGGGTGATTGCAGACTAATTTGCAAACAAAACCCAGGAATATCACACTAGGCACCCAAAAGGCAGTACAGGCTGAGGCAGATATCCTTTTTTTTAAAGGACATAAAAGGTATTGGGAGCAATTTGTCTAAAAAAAATTCAGGAGAAGATCCAAAGGGATGAAATTTCTCCTTGGTGAACTGAGACTGAGAAAGCTTTTTAAGTGTTGGCAGCATCACAGAAAAACCCAATGTCAAGAAGTTAGAATAATGAGAGGATGATCAAAGAACAGTTTATCTAAATTAAAGGTGAGATTAATAGCACTGATAAAAAGGTAGAGCTATGGACTATTTTAACATAAAATAAGAAAAATACTTGCAAAGGAACACTGTGATCTTATTTATTATTTTGGCTGTATTTGGCAATTCTAGCCAGGGCTAAGATAAGCCTATGAAAAAGCACAAAAACTTTTAATCTAAGGCAAACCAGGTCTATATTCTGTGAACATAATATTCCATCCAAAATAGCAACTTTAATTTATTTTGTCCACATAATTTTATTTTAAAAAAAAGGATAAAAAATTAACAAAATTGTGTAGGCAACATTAAAGGTGCACTGCATGTAGATGATATTGCCCAACTCCCTCATAATGATAAAAGAGTTGGACAAAAAAGGTCTTTTCTGCAAACTACCTACAAAAACAGCCAGCCAAACTGAAATTCCTCAGGTAAAACACAGAATTCAGCCTACAAACCTAGGCATAGCAAGAGTGCTTTACCTTAATTTTTTGATACCAATGAAACCAGATTTGGTGCTTTACCTTAATTTTTTTATACCAATGAAACCAGATCATTACCTCTAATTTCATTAATTTCTGAATTGTATTTTTTTTTTAATTTCAGAAATGGTGTTTATAAATTTCCAAAGCCATCTCTACTTCCCAACAGCCACTAGAGCATTGTTTTGCCATTCCCATGGTGTTAAAATACCATCCCTGGAGTTCTCAGCAGATGGTTTTGTTTGCAATGCTGAAGTACTGGTAGGTAGAGGAAAATTGACAGCAATAAAAAGCTCCACTTGTAAGACTTTGATAAAAACAAAAAAGCCCATAAATATCATTGTAAAATGTGAGGAAACAAGGAGAAAAGAAAAGAAGGGAGCGAAATAATAAAAGTTCAAACATCTGGAAAATGTGGTAAATTTCCTAATTGGAAATGATAGAATTCTTAAGATTTTAACTGTTTTGGAGTTTTTAAAATTAAAAACTAACAAAAGCTTCTTGAATATATTTGTAATAGATTTTGCAAATTTTGTCCAACAATTCAGAACACGAATCTCTCAGAATTAGTTCCAAATGTCTGGAAAATATTTTTTCTGAAAAAAAAAAATAGATTATGCATATTTGCTTACCTGGTTAGTTAAACAAAATTCACTGGCTGGAGCAGAACACATTGTAAAAGAAACCTGCAAAGAGGAAAAAAAGTTTCATTATAATTTATATATCTCTCTCATATTTTTGATTAAAAATTTAGTAGTGAGTGGTTATTCTTATATAGAAACTTCAAGCAACAATATCATTCTACATGAAAAGCCTCTTAAAATCTAGCAGGTCCCTGTTTGTTCAGAAGATTCCTGACTGTGTGGCAGATTGCACTTATAAACCGAATTAAACCCAACAGACATCCAACCATGCTATTCAAAGAAAGGTTTGAGGTTATCTGTTACACAGGTGGCATCAACTTTTGTATATTTTTATTCAAGTCCAAATGTGTAACTATCATCATATGATAATGATATCATTATAAGATACTCAGATGTTCAGATGGTGAAAAAAAAGGCAAGTATTTCTCATTAAATGTTCTTCAAGGAACTGAAATATACAGAGTTACTTTACTTCCAATAATATTTTCAATAAATATAATGTCAAAAGAACATTATTAAGACTGTTATGTGATGAATATTAACATCAAAAAATGCCAAGTTTTTAGCCTTCCTGAGCAACTTTTATTTTTTCAATGAGTACAGAATATGCTGCAGTTGTTAATTACTTAGTCACACAGTATTTCCATGGGAACTCCTCTTCAACCTATGCACAAACAGACATTCAAGAAGTTCAAGCACTGATGTTTTGTGAAATTTCATTGATTGACCTGTGGTCTGGAAAGACATTATATAAGTAGTATTCAAATCCTCATAGAAAAAAAGGGTGATAATTTTGCTATGGTCCATATATTCTAATCATGAATGCTTTGACTGTGTTGCAAACACTGCACAACTCAAGTTCAGCAAATTCCTTTGCAGGAATAACATTGTCCCAGATGAGCTCCTCGGTGCCAAGAAATCAGACTGAAAACTGAATACTTAATCTGGGTCACATGGACTCATTTTTTGCAGAGGACTCAGAATTATACCAGATATTATTTATTCAAGGCCCTGCTCAAAGGTTTCAGTTGTAAACAAACACGACACATTGCAAATAATTTTCTTGATAAGTAAATATCTGAGAAGTGTGCTTGGATTGGATATAATCTTCAGAAATTCCGTTAGGAAGAATGATATCTGCCAACCACTATCACCAGCTCCAGTGCTGGAAGATGTAGATGATCCTTCTCAAGGTCAGGGAATAACTGACAGCACATTCCATCCTTTCCTCATACTGACAGAAAGTGGTTTTTGGGAGTGTTTCACCAGACATTTATTGACCCCAAAGAAAGAAACACAGAATCAATCCTGGACTCTGGAAGCTGAGTCTGATAATTGGAAGTGTAAAAACAACGTCAACAAAAGACTCTTGAAAAGGATTACGGTGACGCAGAAATACAGTTCTTTCACCTCTCTACCAGCCCTCTGAGACAGCACTCTTTGCCATATGGAATATCATTCCATGCATGTGTATTGGCCAGCATGCCTTAAATTTTTCACTAAAAGGGAAACCATTTACCATGATGCTGGGAATTTTGGAATGGACCAACAAACAGCAACAAGAAAAGGTACAGACAATGTGCCAACCAAACCCTGTCAAATCAGTATTCATCAAAGCCTAGAGTGTATCTTGCTTAAAATAAAGGTTTCTCTTGTTATATTAGCATCTTTCTGATGTAGTCAGGCTAGTTTATCTAAATTCAGAGACTGTGATTTAGGTCAAACAGCTTTGAACTGAAAGGGTCATGTCCTTACCATTTCCTCAGCCATCTGCCTGTTTGTGGCTTTTGAGAACATCTATCTCATTTCAGAAAGACTTACTGTGTGAGTCCTAACCACAGTCCTTTTATTGGGTTTGCACCACTGGACAGTGCAGGTAACTGTTAGATAAAACAGTTTCTCTGCTCAGATCTAATAGCAGGGAAACAGTTTGACAGTAAGAGAGTTTGAGCAAATGCAAAAACAGGGAAAAGATGACTGATGATGTGATAAAGGATAAAATAAACTAGTGAGTGTGCTTTTGTAAGATTTGCTATACATAATCCTTTATTCTGAGGTCCTACATGGGAATGAGATCTACTATGGAAAAAAAAAACCCAAAAAACCAAAAAACCTCAAATCTAAAACCAACAGAAAATATAACCAGAAACTGTTCTGTTTAAGAAAGCCATGTTTGCATGAGAAGGACTATGACTATGTGCACTAAAAGACAGCAGTCTGCCAATAACTGTTCGTCTTCCTTTTTTTCCAGACAATGTCGTTAGGTCACCAGTTATGTCCCACCAACCTCAATCACTCATGGCTGGACTCCAGTACCAAGCACGGATGCTCCTGATCATTACATTTGTTTAGCATTAGAGAGCAAACTATCTTTCCTTGTTACACTTCTGGGTACTTCTGCTGTTCCTTTCAGTAACAACATGATGTGCACAAAAACTCGCAAGAGTAAACGCACTCATGAGAGATGGGATGCAATTTGCAGATTTGCCCAGGTCTCAGAACTGTGATGGCCACCCATCCCTGCTGATGCTGACATTGCTGCCAGCACTTCTGAACCAGCCTAAATCCCTGCACCTATGACTCTGCTCTGGGAAAAAAACAGCAGCTCCCTTCCTTCATTAATTGTGTCACAGCCTCTTTCAGAGCAAAAGATACTGCTCACTCCTCCTTAGTCATTTTATCTCTGCTTTGCTTAGAGAAAATAGTTTCAATTCTTTACCTTCTAGTGAATCACAAACAAACTGTTATCCCCATCTGCTCTGGAGGAACAGGCATCATGAAGAGTCTGATTAAAGACAGAGTTTTTTAACTTGTAATGACATCCAAGGATGAAATGAAGCAAGTTTCCCTTCTAGTTTCCAGACACAGTCACGAAATTCTTATTTTCAAATTGAGCACATATGATGTAAAGAGCATCAAGTTACAGGAACAATTACTATGCAATTCTAAAGATACAATTTTCACAATCCCTTTAGAAGAGAACAGTATTTTTATTCTCTTTTCATCCCTCAAACATTTAATAATAATCCTGTTTTATGCATATTAATTTAAAGTCATAATGAGAATTGGAAAGGTATTGATTTCAATGGGAGTTAAGGATTAAATATCTTTATATGGAGCCACAGACTTCATCCTATTAAATCTCTACATTTATTGTCTGCACACAAATCATTATAAAGCAGGCATTACTCAAGAAAGAACTCAGAAGCAAGAGAAAAGCCCAATTAAGAAGGAATTCAATGCAATTATGGAAGTTCGGAAGTTGCCTGGGGTTGTGTTTTCCTGTAAATTATTGGGGAAGATGAAAAGGGAAGAGTTTGTTTCATCCCCACTTTCAAAGTATTATTTTCACTTCAGGTTCACTTTGTTAATTTTTTAACCTGAAGTATCAGGACTTCTATGAAGTTGCGGGTTAGGAGCAAAGATGCCATTAACTGGGTTTCTGGGGGATCTGCATTTTGCAACACTCGTCAGTGCTGGGGTTACTTTTATCAGTAGCTGGAGTTCTTGTCTATAGCTCTTGGATATTTGTACATAATTAAATTGGCCTTTCTGACCCTAGTCCTGTAGGCATTAAAATCAGCTCAGCACAAACAGTCCTGGAATGCACATTATAAGACCTGAACTTCTTCCTTCTTCCAACATTCCTTACCCATTTATGTGAAAAAGGGAAAAGAAATAAGAACAGAGAGTCCACAGAAATGCACACTAGATAATTAAAATAAGGACTTTTTGAAGTATTAAAATCAACCTTATTTTATTATTATGGACTCAAGTCTTCCTTTAAAAAAATGGCTTTATAAATCCTCCACCTAACCATGGAGAAATGAAATTTATCAGTTTAGATGCCTGCTTAAAAAAGTTGTGGGAACAGGAAGCATCTCAGTTGAGTACCTTTGTGGTAGCATCAAGGCATTTCAGAACAGCACAGACTTCATTGCACAGTGTTTTTATGGCCTTTTTTTTGTATAATACTGCAATGGGCTTCATACACCTTACACCAGCAACACACTTGGCTGGTTACAAACAGAATAACAAATATGCCCAGTGAACTTTGAGAGCTGCAAATTCCTGCCTGTCAGCATGTCTCTGTTTTAACCCCTGTGCCAGCTACCCACAGCTTTCCAGCTTGGAATCGGGTTCCTGTTCTCAAGGTGGATTCAGATATAGCATGATATATCTTGGGTCGAGATGTTTGCTTTCCCACTTTTTATCCATAGCACTTCCCTAGAATACAGCCAATTGAACCTAGCAAATGTTCCCAGGGTGCCCCCAGTGCTCCTAGGACACTGGTAACTCTACTCAACAAACTTACACACTTCACGAGGAAAAAGCTAATAATACTGGAGATGGTAATAAGTGCATGCAAAAATATTTAACAAAATCAAATCCTCTAAATTTCATCAAAAATGCTGACAGTCATTGAATTTAAATGTTTAACAAATACCCCTTTTTTAATACAAGTTTCCACCTGAACAGGGTCAATCTGAAAAGACTGAGAAGTCATATTTAATCAAAAAGAAAACATGAGGAAGTCATCTACCAGTACCTCAGGTACTAGTAAACCTGGACTGGATAATTTTGCAGGCAAAAAAAGGTGTTCATGGTATTTTTTATATTTCAAGCAAATAGTAAGGTGTGAGAGGAACCAAACACTCTCTCTCTCTCTCTTTCTTTCTTTGTGTGATAAAACCCACAAACTATTTAGAGGAATTTTCATCATATGGATTTTCAAATTTCTAAAAAAAAATATTTTGTGAATGGTTGTCTCAAAAGCATAATACAGAAATTAGTCAAATATTTTATTAAATGAATTTGAGTTCTTCAAGGTTTTTTTGCTAATTATGACTAATTTTGGGGTAAAACTTAACTTTTCTTTCCCCAGTGAGATCTATTCTACTTTGTAAGGCTTCAAGCTCACTTCAGTTCTTAAATTAGGGATAAAACTAGACTCAAACATTGGCTTTGCTAATTGCAGTCAGATTCCTGCAACAGTACCCAAGCAATGACCAATTTATCAACACAAAGCTTATATAACTGTT